CTCTCTCTCTCTCTCTCTCTCTCTCTCTTTTTGGTGAGGTGACCCTTAGTTGACCTCACAGGTTGCAAGGACCTTGTCAGCTTACAATCCCTTATTTTTATATATATATTTTTTATTTTTTATGCCTACAGCACTTGGTCTTCCTAGGTGGTCTCCCATTCAAGTACCAACCAGGCCTGACCCTGCTTAGCTTCTGAGATCCGACGTCCGACGGGATCGGGCTCGTTCAGGGTGGCATGGCCATAGAACAAACAGCCATCTTTCAACAGCAATTCCTCTTCAACAAGCAAGAGTGAGTCACCGCTACCTGTTGCCGTCACTAACTCCAGGCATCACCCGTAGTGGCGGTGACTGTGTATTGAGTGCATGTTGTGTGCTCTGTAAGGCACTTGACGAACAGTATTTCACTGAGTCAACACTCTTCCTGGCACCCATCACCCCTCCAAGAAGACGTCAGAGGCACCGGCCTCATGCATGGGTTCCACTCTTTTTCTCCACTGTGGTCTTCGGGAATGGGTTTCTCCCTTCCCAGACCCCGTCAGCTAAGCAAACCGTTGACTAAGCATTTTTCAGTTTCCTTGGGAGGGGTTGCTTTTTTCTGCAGCAGCAAATCATTTCCTGTGTTCTTTTGATCAAAGTCTGCCCATCTGAGCTCCTGAGACTTTCTGGCGTGGCTCCTTGGAAGAGTTCCTGTCCCCAGCCCAGAGCTCTAGCTGATGGTTTGGTTTTAAATTACCCAGATGAGTCCTTGGCCAGTGATGCCCAATTTATCATCCTGAAGTAAGATGTTCTATCTCAGACTAATACGATCCCTGCCTCTTGGTCTACCTCCTTGCCTCCACCTTGGTCAGATGCCTGCTGCAAACCTTGGTCAGATGCCTGCTGCCAGAAGCTCTGCAGTTGTCACCACTGGCTCTGGGACTGTCTCAGCCACATGCCCTCATTGACAGAATGACGGAAAATGAAAGCTGAAGTGGCTTGCAGGTACATGGAGCTGTGGGGACGACTATGATTTACCAGCCCAGGCTCGCTTTAAAGTGAATGTTATGATTCCATTGGGTCTAAATTCGTGACCATGAAAGTCACTCCACCCTGTCACCACAGTCATCACTAGACTTCAGCCTCACCATGCAGTGACGCCTTTGGCTGCGCGTCTCCCCTGCTGCCCTCATTTGGAAGGGTACCAATGGTGGTGTAGACATTCTGGGTCTCATCATCTGCTTCTGCGATTGCTATGGCCAGGCCACCCTGTCACCGGCACAGGCTTGCTGTCACTACACCATCACTGCACCCCACCGCTCATTTGACACAGCTTCCCTTCCCAGCTGTGGACTCAGAGTGGCTGAACGCAGACCCTCTGAAATTCCAACTGAGAGGTCCCCAAAACACCTTCTATATCTCAACTGACTTCCAAATATGACATGTGGGAACTGAGGCCCAGAGAGGAGAAATGACTTGCCCAAGGCCACACAGGGAGGTGAGGGACCAAACTGGGCTGGAAACCAGGTTTCCTAAGCCCCAAGAAAGGGGTATGTCTCTGTTCCTGCAGACACCGTGTGACCCCCTCAAGGCCACCTTCTGTCCTCGTTACTGTTTCATCCTTAGCCCCCATCACCATTCTGGCCTCTTGTCCACCACGAGATGGGATTTGATCCCTGATGAGGAATGCTGGGGGCGTACCTGAGCTGTACTGAGGAACCCCAAAGGGTCTGCTGTGACCCTTCCCATCATCCACTTTCCGATGGTAGCCTCCAGGGCACCTCCACCTGGCTGCACTTCAGGACCCACCCTTGGAGGACTTACCATGGTGGGGGCTGGCTTCTGGGTTCCTGGGGGTGCCCAAAGGGGTTGTGGCAGGGGTACAGGCTCAGGGAGCTCCGGGGGGTGGTTTGGGCATGGCCCTGTTCCTTCTCCTTCAACAGACTCCCAGCCCTAGTTCCTCTTAAACAGCCCCCTCTCACTTCCTTTGGCGGGAGGGGCCGCGGCTACAGGGGAGGGAAGCTGGGCCCCGAGGGCGGGGAGAGAGCTCCGGCAGCAGCGGCAGGGCTGAGGGACTGGCTGGGGCTGAGCCTGAAGAGAGAGGTCAAGGATTGATGGCAGCCACTGCCAGATCCCACAGGGCCCCTTCTCCAACTCCTTAGAGACAAGGGCTGCAGCAAGGAGCACACAGGTTAGCTGGCTGCAGGACTAACCGCTCTGTCCAGGAAGACCCCAGGAAGCATTTGGGCTGCTCCGGCTCTGCGAAACCACTTCAGACACGTGTGTGCTCTGGGCATCCCTGAACAAACACCCTCTTCCAGAGTGGCCTCTGCTGATCTTTCCTTCAGAATGGCGTGTGTGTGTGTGTGTGTGTGTGTGTGTGTGTGTGTGTGTGTGTGTGATGGGGTGGGGGGAAGGCAGCGGGAGTGGACGGTACCAGGAGCCAGGCGCACTCGGAAGGTCCCAGACATTGGAGGTCAGATCTGGATTTAACAATCCCCAGCTCTGCTACTTCTGGGGTCCTCCCCCTTTTCTCATCATAAAACCGAGGTGCGGGCCCATGGCCTGATCTTTGGGAGATCAGCAGGCCACGAACTGGTCTCTTGTTTGAGGAAATGGCAGTTCTGAGAAGTTGTCACCTCCCGGTGCCACACGGCGAGGACGTCGCTGAGGCAGAAGCCTAGATGCTGGGAGAGCTTGGCAGGGAGGCTGGAGGTCTGGGATGTGTCCCTGCGCTTCAGCTTTGCACAACGTCCTGCCGGGAGGTTGCCAGAACGCGGCGCCCCCTCGTGGCCATATATGGGGAGGAGCCCTTTCCTCCCTGAGTCTCGCGCAAGTGATTGGCTTGGCGCCTGCGAACCTCAACAAATGCCTCCAGGCACGAAAGCTGAATACTTAGGCAGGAGGACTCAACTTGTTGGGAGCATCGGGGGAGGCTTCTGGGAGGAGGCAACCTGTGCTGAGACTGCAGGGTAAGTTGGAGTTAACCAAGTGAAGAAGGAAGGGGTGGAACCACCTGGCCGAGGAAACAGCTCAAGGAAAGGCCCCAAGATGGGAAGATGGCGGGCAGATTGAGGAAATTCCAGGAGGCAGGTGCAGCTGGAGCGTGCTGAGTAGCCGGGAGAGTGTTGTCCCAGATGGCAGGCGCTAGACCGTGGGACTTTGAAAGCCTCCATGAGAAGGTGTATTTTTTCCTACGATCACTGGGCTCTAGTTTGTGTTTGTAAAAGCCCCCTTTTGGGCTGCCGGGGCTGCTTCCAGTCTGGGGTGGGGACACACACACACACACCACGTGCAGAAATCTACACAAGACAGACTTTATTGATGTACGGCCTCCTGGCGAGGAGCGTGTGGGCCCCAGGGCAGGGCCTGTAGCACCATGATGGGGGCGGCCTGGATGTCGGGGTCCCCCTGGGGCAGGATGGGCAGAGGTTGGGGTGGGTCTTCTTAGCTCTGCCCCATCCCTGTGGCTGGCCTGGTCAGGGGGAGAGTGTCAGGGAGGGGGTGCTAATCCCTCCCCCACGGCGGACATAGACTCCCTCCAGCTCAGAGTGGAGGGACAGGGCAGTGCTGGGGGCCAGGGCACCAGCTGACCCCCTCCCCACCCAAACTCTTCACAGTACATATTCCAATCAAAGGTGGGGCAGTTTGGGGTGCTCCCTAGGGGTGGGTGAAAAGGGTGCTAGGCCAACAGTTTTCCCTCCTCTAACCCACCCTGGAGGGGCTCTCACTGTGAACTAGGAGAGGGGCTGAGGAGGAGCCCTAGGGGTGGCCAGCTGCTCTCCATCTCCCAGCCAGGGCCCTGCAAGGGTTCCCAATAAATAACTTCTGGTCCATCTCACCCCTCACTCCCAGATCCCGCCCTCTCGGGCTCCTTCAGGCTGGCTGCTTGCATGTTGGGTTCCCCCGCCCCGAGCCGGCGCCCAGTGGTGGCTCAGGGGACCGCGCGCCCCCTAGCGGCCCTGGCAGGTTTTGCAGCACATCTGGCGGAAGTACGCTCGGCTGCAGAACTGAAATTTGAGCACTAGGGGGCAGTAGGCGACCTTGTTCACATCCTTGCACTCTGCAGAGAGTGGGAAAAGCGGGGTGGCAATCAGGTCTCAGGGCTCCGGGGCTTCACGTGGATTATTTTATTCCGCCTCTCATAATGCGGGCCCCTCTCAAGTAAATATCTTTTTACCCTCTGACAGACAAGAAAACGAAGGCACAGAGGTGAAAGGTGAACCCAGACAGTTTGGTTCCTGTGCCCGGAAAGTAATCTATTGCTATGAAAAATAAATTTACTTAGGTAGAGAAAAATGGGTATATTTGACCAGTGGTTCTCAAGGGGATGTGATTTTGCCCGCCCCCCTCCGGGATATTTGGTGATGTCTGGAGACATTTTTGGTTATCACCCCTGGGAGGGGGCTATTGGCATCAAGCAGGTAGAGGTCAGGGATGCTGCTAAATATCCTACAATGCACAGGGCGGCCCCATGACAAAGAATCATGTGGCCCCAAACATTGATAGTGCCCGAGGTTAAGAAACTCTGATTTAAAGAGAGAATATTAGGCAAATAATGCTAGGGGTGGAGATAATAAGTCGAAGGTCAGGAGGTGGCTGGGGGAGTGACCCGAGTTTGGGCCCCCAAAAGGATCAGGTGCCTAAAACGCTTGGCACACAGTGACACTTAAATGTCTGCAGAGAGGGGATGGCGAGGCTGGCCCGAAGGAGACAGAACGGCATTTCGGTGGTTGGAGGTCTCCGGCCAGTGGTCAGGAGCCCCACACTCCCCTGTGGCTGCTTCTTGACAGGGCCCTTCTAATGCCCCATGGCCTTCTGCCCCACGTACCTTCGGGGCCGTCCCCGGGGGTCACGCTGTCGCACTTAGTCTCGCACTGCTGCGTGGCAGGTGGCCGCAGCGCCTCAGCACACTCGCGCGATGGCTGACCGGTGTGGCTGGAGCAGCGCACCGCGCGCTGTTGCTGCCCAAGGCCGCACTGCGCAGAGCACTGCGGGGCATCGCTGATGAGCCACCGCCCAGCCGCCTCTGCCCCAGCCTCTGTCCCCCAGGGCGTGCCCACCTACCTCGCCCCACTCGCCCGCCACCCAGCGGGCGGGGGGGCAGCGGCGCAAGTTGCAGCGCATGGTGGCTGGTGGCTTGGCTGCGGGCGGGCAGTGTGTGGGGGGCAGTGTGGCACGGTGGTCAGCACTCTTGCAAAGGACGACGCGGTGGCGGAGGCCTGGCCCGCAGCTGGGAGTGCACTGCAGTTGGAGGGGGCATTTCATGCTAAGTGGGCACCCCTGTTCCCACGCTCGCACAGGGTGTGGGGAGGATGCTCGTCCAGTGGGAGGTGAGGAGGGGTCAGCTAACCTCGGACTAGTTGAGCGTGGCCCACTGGGGCTACGGGGAGGGGCTTGTGACTGTGGACCTCAGTGGGCACCCAGCTCCCAGGCCCTGCCCTGCGCTGCACAGAGAATGGGTCAGGCGCAGGCGGGAAGGGGCGGGCTGACCTCCGACCAGTCGAGGGTGGCCCACTCCGGCGGGCAGGCAGGGCCGTGGCAGGCCTCCAGGATGGGTGGACGTGGCTGCGGGCACGCGCTGTCGTCCAGAGCCTTCTCCTCTGCGGCTGACATACGGCGCAGACACACCACAGAGCGGCTGCGCACGCCCACATCACAGCTGCGGCTGCAGCGCGACCAGTTCCCTACAACCCAGCTGTGGGGAATGCGGAGGCTCTGAGAGTATACGAGCAGGGAACCCGGCGCCTGGAGCACTAGCGTCCTCCTCCTCCCTAGCGATCAGCATCATTATGGGAACTGGCACCGGGACGACTGCTGCTCACGCAGGGAGCACTCAGAAACCCTGCACTTGGAACGTCATCTCCCTGTATCCACATGGGAGGTATGGAGGTACATCACCCCAGTGGGAGATGACCGCCTGGATTTGACTGGGGAGCACCCTCCTTCCCACTCTGGTTCTAGGAGAGCCCTCCCCCCACCTTCATGACTTTGACTTGGGGAATACCATCACCCCAATCCTGGGAGTATTCACCCCTCTGATGTCAGCAGCACTACCACTGCAGTACTTGTCGCCCCCACCCTGCACCCTGGAGGGCACTCACTCTGGAGGGCAGGGCTCTGTGTTGCAGGCCCGCTGCCTCTTGGGGAGCTTGCTGTGCGCGCTGCAGTGGTGGGGGGCCACGGCTGAGCTGTCCAGTTGATTGCGACACTCCACAGCCTGCACCTGGCTGCCTGGGGGTTAGCGAGAGGCTGCTCAGCTCTGCCTGGTCCAGAAGGTCAGTCCGGGTGACCAGTCAGTGCCCACATCCTGGCCCCACCCCAACCTCACCACCGGCACACTGGGCGGAGCACTTGGTCCAGGGCGCGTAGTGCCAGGAGTAGGGGGGCAGTGCGTCGCGGGCGATGGGCGAGGTGAAGCGGTAGCGGAGGGCGGGCAGCTCTGTCCGCGCCAGCACCTGGCGTGGGGGCATCGAAGGGAAGTCAAGCTCGGAGTCCCCACGAGGATGCTCATGTCCTCCTGCACCTTGCTCCCACCATTACCATGACGATGAGAGACGCGTTAATGGGTCCCAGGGCTTCTAGGCTCTGTGTCTGATTCGGCCCTGGTCGAAGCTGAAAGGTGGTCCCAGCCAGGGGCAGACGGTGGGGCTGGGGGGTCCCGGGCAGTCCCTCCAGCAGTAGGGACTCCTGGTCCCCCTTCAGGGCTGGGGGACAGCACAGGGGTCAGAACCCCAGCCAAGCTGAGCCCCAATCCTCATTCCCCCAACCTCCGGCTCACCCAGGTGACTGAGGGAGAGGTTCAGGTCCTGGATGAAAATATGGACGGAGCCTTTGGGGATCCAGACGACTTCCTCGTACCCTGGACATGGAGCTAGGTGTCACCCGCTTGACCCATCCCCCACACCTGCCTGCCTCCTCCATCCCTAACTCTTGAGTGATAGCGGCTAACCAATACTGAGCTAAGTGCTTACAGGGACATCGCACGGTGTCCCCAGCTCTGGCCCTGGGAAGTAGATGTGCCATAATCCCCATTTTATGGTCGACAAAACAGGCTCAGAGAAGCAGAGCTTCTAGGTTTGACAGCTAGAAGTAGCTGGCCTGGGATTTGAACCTAACTTTCCTGCCTCTCTTACCACCAAAGAGGCCCCAAGCCCCCAACAAGCAGCGGGTCTGGGCTTGGGCAGAGAGGAGGAAGCACCGCGGACAGACCGACCTGCACAGGGTGACATGGTGGTTTTGGCAGAGCTGGGTTTGCAGTGGGCTTCACCACGTAGGACCTGGATGGTCACAAGCCCCTGGGAACCCTCCAGCCCTGCCCACCTGTGCCCTTCAGGAGTCCTGGTTTATCTGCCTGGACCCTAGCACACCATCCCCTAAACCACACTTGAGCAAGAGGACCCCTGGATGGCAGAGGGGAAAGATTTTGGTCTCCCCGCTTGGACGTTTTAACTGCCCAAATTTAGGCCCCAGAGCCCAAGCCTGTCCTTGAACCTGATCGAGGCATTGCTGGGTCCCCAGGACTGTTTGGGGTTCCTTTGATCTTGACTACTGGGGGCCAGCTTTGCCCCCAGCCCAGTGGGGACTGTGGCAGAGAAGTGGGGGCCTCTCACCGGCTCCGAGCAAGGCCGGGCTGAAGACCCCCTCGATGGTTTCGCAGGCACTGCCGTCACCCCCGCAGACTCGGCACTTGTCCTCCCGCAGGTCAGAACCCAGGACCCGGTCGCAGCCCACGTGCTGGGGGAGGCAGTGGTGGTTGGGGTATCAGTGGGGCGCTCGTCCCCTCCACCCCCCCATCCCCTCTCTCTGGGAGTCCACTCCACCTTGCACTCGCCGCTGACACAAATGTCCACTGTGTCTGGGCGGCAGGGTGTTCCGTCCACCACAGCTGCCGCCCTCTCCGTGTAGAAGTTGAAACCTTCTGCTAGGCATGTTAGTGAGCAGGCCTTGACGCCCCCTGGGGGGCACGGCCCCGTCAGACCAAGGGCCAGGCCGCCCTGGGGCTCCCTGCTTGCTTCCTGGGGGAGGTGAGGCCAAGAGGGAGAGACCCCAGATCCAAGAAGGATGGGCAAGCTGGGCAGAAGGAATAGGGGTTGCCAGCATCCAGTCTGGCACTCTGACTCCTCGGGTGAGGGGAGGGCTCAGGGCAGACCCCATGATGCCATATCCACCTTCTGTTGGACACGCCCATGGCCTCCTGAGCCCTGCACTCACCTCCTCGGTATGTCTTCCACGTGTAGAATTTTCCACGGAAGGGGACGCTGTCAAATTCAGAGCACTGCATTTCCCTGAAGTCCTGGGAGCCAGGGGGACAGTCCTGGGGGCATGAGACGGGAGAGGGAGGGAGGCCAAGTGTCCCAGGATGGAGTTAGGGCAGAAGCCCAGGGCATAGAACAAATGTTCAGATGGGTTGGAGAAATGAGGCTGGAGGCAGGGAGGCTGGGAGGTCAGGGAGGAGGCCGTGAAGGACTGTATTGTAGCCTGGGCAAGGTACAGGCAGGTAGGGCTGGAGGGACTGATGCATCTGAGATGGGACCAGGTGACTCATTAGATATCAGGTGCAAGATGGGGATGATGCTTGGGTTTCTAGTTTCAGATCACTGAACCTTTCTTGAGAGAGAGAGAGAGAGAGAGAGAGAGAGGGAGAGAGAGAGGGAGAGAGAGAGGGCCTAGGAAGGAGCAAGACAAATTGGGGAAGGTGGCCAGCTCTTCATGAATGTGAGGGGCATGTGAAGTAGGCAGACACAACCCCCTCCGGATGGGGGGCTAGATTGCCTACCCCTCACTCTAAAGTTCTCCCTCCCTCTTAGCATCCCCTGCTGCAGTAAGCTTTGTGCTTATTAGATGTGTACACATAACACTCATTTACACCCAGGATGCAGCCCTGGGGAACCC